CCGCGGGACAGGCGAGGATGCGGGAGGCGGGAAGAAGGAACGGGAATGCGCTGCCCTGGCAAGCTTAGAGGGGCGGAGAAGGGCGAGCGGGGTTGAGCCCCTCCAGCGCGCTTTACCGCTTTACAAAAGGATTTTCGTTAAATCTTCCCTACAGCTCTTGCCAGAAGCAGTTTACGCCTCCATTTAAGAGGGACAGGCTGAGCCTCTGAGGAGTGAAGTCACTCACTGGCCGAAAACTGCACACCCAGGATCAGCGTGACACCCTAAATCAGCGCTCAGTTACACCAAGGAGAACAGGATGAACTTGAACCACTTGTTGGCAGAGTTCTGCTCTTGATTCTTTTTTTTTAAAAAAAAATAAAAATTTTGGATAGGCATATAGTAAGTGCTCAGAAAATATTGGAAGCTGAAGAATGCGTTTGACAGCTCAGCCTTGGGAGTACTCGCTGCGAATCCAGCTCAGCTCACGGGGCACAGGGTTTCCCCAGACCGCGAAGGGGAACTTTTGCGATGGACAGGCGGACTTCCGATTTTGACACACGCATTCGGCACAGGTGGTGGTGGAGCCCCAGCCCTCGCGGAGGACAGACTGGGTTAAAATCCCTGCTCTGCCTCTTTTACGCTGTTTGACTTTGGGCAAGCTATTTCATCCGCTGGGACCTGTTACTCCATCTATAAATGGAGATATTAACGCCCACCCCAAAGGATTGTGGAGAGGAGTAAACGAAACAATGTTCCTAATACACTTACGAAACGCACAAGTATCGTCGCGCGTTAATTCCACACATTTCGGGCGGTGCATCCGCACCGGGTGAGAACCTCGGACAAAGTCTTCTCGGTCTCAGTCCCCAGGTCGCCCACCCCTAGACTCAAAGACTGTTGGGCCTTAGACTGACCCTCATCCGGCAAAACACTGAAACCGCGGCCACCTCGGCCGCGGCCAGTCCCGAAAGGAAATTTTCAAGTATTCCGAAACTGGCGAATGGCTAGGACTGGCATTTTTGCGTTCAATTTTCTTTGGAGTTTTATTCTTGTCAGTAAAGGTAATTTCCTGAGACTTCCTCTCTATGTCTTGTTTAAGTTTTCGTATGAGCGAAGTTCACAAAGCAGACCAAGATACCCGCGCGTGGCAATCCTTGCAGCGATCCCAAACTTCAACCAGCCCCCGACAATCCTCTGGCTCTCGGCCCCCTCCCCTAAGCACGGAAGCGGCTGAGGCTGGCTTCCCCTCGCCCAGCGCGTTCAGACAGAACCTCTTCGTCCTGGCAGCCCTCCGGAATCCCCGTGTCCCCGCCGGAGCAAGGGAAGGTGATGGCTGCAGCCCAGAACTCAGCTTCCCTAACCTCCTCAAATTCTAGCCTTGCCGGGATTAAGGGAGTAAATCCCCGATGCCACAGACCAGGTCAAGGACAAGTTCTCCCCCCCTCCACTTCCCCCTCCAGGGCGGGGATTCACCCCCTCCCCTTCCCGGATGAAAGGTACTAAATAGATGCGAAGGGAGGGGTGGCGGCGGGCCCGGCCCCTTGATGTTCCGGTTGAACAGGTGCTGGTGAAAAGGAGGCGGTCCCGGCGGAAGAGTCGGCCTGGGGGGCAGTGCGCAGAAGGGGGGGCAGGCTCCTCCACCCTCAGTCCGCTGCGGGTCTTCCCCACTACTCTCCGTCTGCCCCTCCCCCGCAGGAAGCGTTCCGGGCCGTGAGGTCTTTGAAGTGTTGTTGATGCCCCCCCAGAGCTGCTTTCTCTCCTCTGCCACCCCACCTCCCAATGAGAGACTGTGACCTTTGGTCTCTGCAGGCGTCAACCCCCACTTTAGGAAGTTGGGGGGGGGTCAGATTTCGTCCCCTTTGCCCACACGGGTCTTGGGGATGAAGCCTTAAGGCTGACACCAGCCGCTTCTTCCCAGAACCAATTTCAGGGACTTTAATTCTTTGGGGTGCTGTGTGTGAGTTTATGTTGTGTGTTTGTCTGCACGCCTAGAGGTCAAGTGTAACTTATCTGTGACCACTTCCGTAGGCGTGAGTCTCTAATTCGAGTGGGTCTCTAAGCTCGCCTGTGGGGCTGGACCTGAGGTTTGAACCTCCCTGGGAGGGGCAGGTGGTGTGGCTGGATGAGGCGGGGAGTGAGTCTGTGTCTAGGTGCCTCGTGTGTCTCTAGGGGTTGAGTGCTGTGCGTGCGCGCGTGTGTGCGTGTGCCTGAGCTGTACCGGAAGCTCCCCGAGGGCAGGAATACCTGTTTTGTTCATTGCGCTACCCAGCGGCTGCACATAGTAAGCATTCAATAAATACTTGAATGAACAAATGTCTGCGTGTCAGAGTGTTCACCCTACAGAATGGCCCCAGAAGAAAGACCGCACGACGGCCATCCAAAGAGCCCCCAGACACGGAGGGGCGAGCGACTCACGTCGCTCCTGCTCCTTCTAGCGCCCCTTACCCTGCTCTCCACTCCCAAGTTTCCTTGGGATAGAAGAACAGCCGCCGAAACGAAGACCTGGGCAGAGTAGGCTGAAGAATCGGACCCGGGGCCGAGACCGAAAGGCAGGCAGAGGGAGGGCTCAGGAGCGCTAACTGAGAATTACAGAAAGAAAAAGAAAGAGGGAAAATTAGCGTAGAGCAAGCAGGCGAAAAGCTCCCTACCAAGCCAGGCTTTGTTCCCTGAACCTAAGACTTTACCCGGCGGCGGGCGACTGGCTGCGGGCGGGCCGGGAACGAGCTAGCGAGCGGAGGCGCGCGGCCATGGCTGCCGCGGCCGGGCAGG